TATAGTGATGGTACATGGCCAACGCTGACCACAGTCAATAGGACTAAAGCACCCACCAGAAGCATAATCCTGGGATATTAAACTGGTGTGCCAGAGGACTGCAGTAAAACGGCCATCTTAGAATCCAACAACAATAAGGACGGAGAAACGCACCTGTTCGTAGTTTATAAAGGCGGCGCTTGTAAAGTGACTTGCAAGAGTTTTGATTAAAGCTTCTGAGGAGGCTGTCGGTATGTAGACGAGAACACATTCGGCCAGGAAGAGGGTGGGGAGCTCGGGTGAGAGCTTTGGTCCCGCCTCCGAGGTACACAATTCCTCAATGAGGCTGGCAGGTGGAAGTCGCAGGTCATGATTCAGGAGAAAGTAAGGGGCGGCGTTCAAACTTCGGTAGGAATCTGGCGTGGCCACTGTGAAGCCGGACTGCGGAGGAGCATCTAAGGGAGGAGTTTCGAATGAAATAAGATCGGTTTTCAGCGAACCCTCCAGTCGGTGCCAACTATTCTAAGAACATATCTGTCAAAGTATTTTCGTCCAAAAAGTGAAGTAATAAAAAGGAACTTGGACTGTGAGAAGCTAGACAGAATCACCTGGAAATAACTCGTTCCAAAGTTGCTTGCACCTCCTCAAGGTAATAATTTTCTTCTTTACGTTTCCGGGAAGATCAACTTCAACAAAAGCTTTGGGAAGGACTCCCGCACTCTTTAGACGAAAGAAAAGGGTGTCGGAGCCGGCACCTAGGTTTACGACATGGCATTGGCCATTAAAATCCTAGAAAAGTACAGCGTAAGCGAAGGCAGGAGAGTCAACAGGGCATGCCTGAATAAACCGCCTTGTCATTGCTTCAAATGTCTGCACACGAACAAAGTAGCCCCGACTTATTTCAGGGGTGGCTGCGGAAGGTATTGGACAGAAATATTTCGTGTATGGGTCAACCCAATAACCTCTCCGAATGGAATGTGCCTTGCTTGCAGTTGCTTCATCGTTTGTACACTGTACTTGATCCATTAAAGCATTCGGAAACACAACAAGCCTAAATATTGTAGGAAAGATAGTTGGAGTCAAATTCTTATTTCGGCACATCAGCAAAATGCTTTCGTAAGTTTGAAGCTAAGGACTTCGTAAATGAGGTATGAAAAGGTCTTAAGCCGGGGATACACTAGTCATCGCAAAATAGGTTCCAATTGAAAAGCTCCTTGGCTTATTAAGATTACTAAGCAAGTTAAATTACTACGCAAATATATAACTCACAATTTCTTAAACTTGTGGAACTTGTATAAGGAGGAAGAGTGCACCTGTTGAGTTGCTTTGCTAATTTGATATTTTGAAAAGACCGAAAAAATTATGCGTTGCGTACATTGAAGTTTTTAAAAGGCAACCACAGAAGAAGCACAGTAATTTGGCATATTCTCCTCGTTTTAGAAATGGTAAGTGGCTGTCTGGAGTCAACGGAAATTATTGGTTCGTAAAAATCTAACTTTAACGAATGGAGTGTGGTGGTTCTAGTAGGCACATACATCCTCGAGGTCGCCTAAATCCTGAAGCATGTAATTTTAAGGAAAAGAGGTTTGCGGCAGATAAGGCCGACGGAATCACATCAGCCCCAGATGGTGTACGTAGTTTCGATCAGTAGGTAAAAAATGAGGATATGCGAGCTCCTGTTCGCAAAACCTATGATAAACCCCAACAGAGTCTAAGAACTATTAACTTCATGGCTTATGATTTTAATGTCATCGGTAAAATTGAAGCAGCTATTTTGAAAAAAATAATTTGATAAAACAGAACTTCACTGTGACCAGTAGAAGCCAGTGGACAAATAATCTTCAGTACATTCTAGGAAAGTCTGATTACTAAAGGACTTCATATATGCTAAGATGTTTACCGGTGGACAAGATCAGAATCTTTCCTATGAATATATACGACATTCTGAAGGTCAATCGAGAGATACTTTGTCACAAAAAATCTGAAATCGCATTTACTTGGGATGACAAGTGCCTGTCGTTGGTTCCTTAAGGTAGCACTGAATAAACGAATTGAGCGTGTTACTGTCGGTGGAGTTACTTCCTTTAAAATAGCTACGGGAGAAAGTCCGGTCCTGGACCTTCGTTCGGTTGGAAATGAAATAAAGGT